TGTCGTAAAAGCCGGAAATCGGTCCAGCTCACCGTGGGTGTTGCTATCCCCCGGGCGTAGAGGGACGGTCACGTGATACAGTTGACGTATACTTCAAAATGATTACTCATACGGTAACGATAACTCCAACACCTCCAACGGGAAACCTAACACTAAATATATATATCTCGTAGCGCTTTATATAGGCGGTGTGATCCACAAAAATTAATCTATGGTGTGGGGACAGATATCATGATGCAAAAAACTCTAACCCTAACCCTAACCCTAACCCTAACCCTAACCAGTGACCCTAACCCTAACCCTAACCCTAATCCTAATCCTAACCCTAACCCTAACCCTAACCCTAACCAGTGACCCTAACCCTAACCCTAACCCTAATCCTAATCCTAACCCTAACCATAACCTAATACTAATACTAATACTAATACGAATAATATTAATCCTAATACTAGTGCTGCCATCGTGCGGCGTCCCTCCACGCCCGGGGGATAGCAACACCCGCCGTTCGCGCCATGTGAATATATTCCCGCCGAGGTACGTAAATGGAGCGCAGCGGTACGGTTATGTAGAAACAACATTGGTCAGGTACATTTGTGTATACAGATATGTACCTCGGGTACATATCTGTAGTACCTGTTACGACAACGACCCTTCGTGCACTACTACTAGTACTAGTAAACGGAGCAGAATGTTACCCATCATTATTTTCTATGTGCAAAGACCGTGATAACGCATCTCATGATCTCAGTGAGTAGCTAGTACTACTATACGTAATACTACTATATAGTAGTAGTACTAGTATTAGTACTAGTAGTACAAATTTGCTAGCAACTGCATGTCAACAGTGAATTAATCTTTACATTAATGCAGCACTATCTTATTATCTACTACATGTATGTCAGAATAAGTAAGTGCCAATGGGATGCGTAGACATGTTGGTATATGCTATATATGTTGTTTAGGAAGAATATGTCACATCTGGTTTTATTTGCTTGATCAACCCGAAGGATTCAAACCGTTGGAGATCACTGCATGACGGCGTTGCAAGTGTGACTTGATCGACAGCAAAATGGACAGTGTAACTGTTGCTGTAAATGTGATCGCTGATAAGCAACTGGACAGTGTCGTAAACGAGAGTGAATCTGGCAAGGAAGATGCACTGCCCCGAAGTGAAAGTCAAGGCGAAAATGTCTGTGGCGAGAAGGATAGTGAATTACCCATGCGCCCCCTGTCACCAAAGCCAGCTGTCCTGCCAAAGCCAGCTCTATCACCAAGGCCATTTTCACCTACTGGCAACAAGCCAAAGCCAGCTGTGGCCCCACGGCCATTTTCTCCCACTGGAAACACGACTAAAGCAATTGTAGTGCCAAGGCCATTCACACCTACATCATCGAAACCAACTGTACCTCCAAGACCATTCTCACCCCCAAATGTGGCAAAGCCTAGTGCGAGTTCAAGACCTCTCTCGTCTCCAACTATTGCGGAAAAGCCCGCCACATGGTCAGCACTGGTTGCTCCTGCTCCGTTTCCACTCGCGAAACCTCTTTCACGAAAACAACAGGCGAATTCGGAAGAGGCACAACGGCCGCTCTCGCCGCCACCGAAATTCAAGCCGATAGCGCGACCGCTTGGTCAGCCTCCACACCCACCAACAACTGCCGCTCTTAAAAAGCCCCCAACACCACAAACAACTGCCCCTCCTGCACTACCGCCACCACCAACAACTGTGGCCCCTACAAAGCCAATGCCACTATATGCACAAGTGCGTAAATCTAATCGGTCAAATAACGAGAAAAGCTCTTCAGAAGATAGAGACGCAGATATAAGGAAACTTGATGTTACCAACGAGGAGGCTTTGGAAGGTATGCCAGTTGGTCAACAAACAAGCAGTGCCTTTGACCGGGACAGTATGGTCACTGTAGTTGACTTATGCCTAACTAGTGATAACTCGTCACAGCTTGCTGACATAGGGGAACAAGCATCTGTAGGGGAAAATAGCCAAGCAAAGCCCGTTATAGAGCCAAAAGTCTCACATATTTACGATGTAGTGTATGAACCATCGGCAGATAATGCCAAGTTAAAGGATGTCATTGCTGCGAGTGACGCAAATGAAGGAGGTGAAAACGGTTCTGCAGAAATGCCATTCGCATCGAATCGTATAGGAGTTCTCCTCCACCAGCCAAAGTCTGATTCTGCCGACATGGATGTGTTGACAGCTAGCGTTTACGAAGAACCGATGGTGCCAGCCTTTCCATCTCCAGATCAATTGCCAGTCGACACCAAAGATGTGAGCGGGCAGTTCTTGACGAAGCACGAGTACACGGTGAAAACGCACGTTATTCTGCCGCACGAGAGGTCTGCCATGACGGACGAAAGCGGCTATGAGTATGCAACGTGTCCCTTCTGTCCCAACCATGGAGAGCCCGGACACGAAGCCACGTGTATGCGAGCAAAGGATGCCGTCGCTGCGGCGACCGAGGAGGAGGCGAGCATCGTCTGCGCCGTGGACGAGGGAGAGTACGACGACCTGTGGCTGAGCAACTCCAAAGGCAGCACTTCGACGCAAAACGAATACGGGCGCCTCTCACGGGGCAACACGGAGCGCACACACGAGGTGTCGCCGGAGACCGGCCACATCTACAATCTGTACGACGACTCGGGCGAGCGCGTGCCGATCGCGCGGCAGCAGAGCGACGACTACTTCGTTGACGATGACGAGATATACGAGGAGATACGCGCTCCGAAGTTTGGCTTCACCGAAGTCGCGGAGAGCGAGTCGACGATATTCTGGTCGTCGGACACGAGCTCGGGCGACAGCGGGGACGAGACGACGGTGCGGCCGCCGCGCGACGACGGGCTCGCACAGCGTCACAGCACGCTCGTCTGCGACAAGCCCACGCGCACGCTGCTGCAGAAGATCACGCGCAGCAAGAAGACGGAGCAGTACGACCCACAGCAGGCGCACGCGCGCGCAAGGAGGAAGATCGACGACGAGGAGCACCTTGTCCCCGACGTGCGGCTGCTGACGACGCGGCACCCGCCACCCTGCATGCCGCTGCCGCCGCCCGACGCGATGTCCGAGAACGAGCTGGTGCGCCGCAAGGTCGTCGCGCAGGTCGTCGACACGGAGAACTCGTACGTCAGCTCGCTGACGCAGCTCGTCGAGGACTACGAGATCCAGCTGCTGAACGCCGTTCCTCCGCTCGTCGGCGCGTCCAAAGTGAAGACGATGTTCTTCCGTGTGCGCTCGATCCTGCAGTGCCACATGATGTTCCGCATCGGCCTCGCGGCGGCCGTCAGCAAGTGGCACGACGAGGAGAAGATCGGCGATGTGTTCATCGCGTCGTTCTCGAAGGCGATCATCGTCGACATCTACAGCGACTTCGTGAACAACTTCACGCATGCCGTTGAGACGGCGCGCCGGCTCTGCAAACAGCGGCCGCCGTTCGCCGACTTCATGAAGAACAACCAGGTGATGTCGAAGGACCGGCTGTCGTTCTTCGGGCTGATGGTGAAGCCCGTCCAGCGCTTCCCGCAGTACATCCTCCTGCTGCAGGACCTGATGAAGCGCACGCCGGCGGGGCACTACGACCGCGTTTCCCTCCAGATGGCGCTGACGACTCTCGAGTGCCTCGCCGAGAAGCTGAATCGCCGGAAGCTAGACAGCGAGCACCGGCTCGCCGTCAAGCAGATCCTGCGCAGCATGAACGTCAAGTTCGCGCTCAAGTCCATCGTCGAGGGAGCGCGCTTCTTCGTGCGTGAAGACGCCGTCGCCGAGCTGGAGTTTGACGAGGGCGGTGGGCGCGAGCACCGGAAGCCCCGCAAGCTCATCCTCATGAACGACATGCTGATCTGCGCGGCGGCGAAGCGGCAGCTGCCTGGCGAGCGCGGCACGAAGTCGCGCGGCTGCTACAACCTCAAGTGGAGCGTCAACCTTCGCGACATCAAGGTCGTCGACAGCGTCGCGTTCAGCGGCATCCACGCGGCGCGTCTCAAGGGCTCGCATGTGTCGCTCGTGTCTCAGCAGACCGAGAAGTCGTCGGGCGTCATCTCGTCGTCGGGCGGTGTCTCGTCCGCCGTGGGATCCGTTAGTCCCGGCGCGATCAGGAGCGGCATTCACCTGCGCTACGACGAGCTCAACTCTCTCGTGCACGATTTCACCGTCGTGTCGCAGATTGACGGCCTGCTGTCATCGCTCCACCGTCCGCTGCCGGCGCTCAACCACGACGTCATGCACCAGTTCTCGCGGCAGCTGCAGTGCGAGATTCGTGCCAAGGACGACGAGATCGCGCTGTTCAGCGTCTGCCAGGTGAACATATCGCTGCCGTCGAAGAGCAAGAGTCAGGGCAGGTTCTACTTCGCCTTCGAAACTTCGACGCCGAAGTCGAAAAAGGACTGGCTGACCGACCTGCACATGTGCCAGGTGGCGCTTGAGCCTAGCAACAACCCCGCGTGGGACATCGCTGACAGCGTCGACGACTGCAAGGCGAGGAGCAAGCTGCCATTGTTCGTCGCGCCGATGCCGGTCTACATGGGCAAGGCGGCGACCGAGGTGAGATGCGGGGCGTTTTGCACCGCCGCCCCGGCCGCGGGCGTGCCGCGAGACCAGCTGTGGGTGTGCAGCAGCGACAGACGCGCCAACAGCATGACGGTGATCTCACTGCACAAGACGCACCCGGAGCTCGTGCACTCGTTCGAGCTGCGCTGCCGCGCCACTGTGCAGTGCATGGCCGTCGTGCCGCAGGACCCGTTCACGACGATCTGGCTTGGCACGGACACAGGCGAGGTGTGCATCTACAAGGTCGACCAGACGCGCGCCGAGCTGGTGTCGTTCTGCACGCCAGGGGGCGCCGGCGTCGCCGGGTTTGCGCACGTTGACGGGCGTGTGTTCGTGGCACTCTCGAGCGGTCGCGTTGCCGTGTACCGGCGCGCGCTCGCCGGAGGCTGGCGCACAGACGCGGCGACGCTTGTCGCCCTAGGCGATGCGCCTGTCACCGCGATGCTGCCAGCGCCATCTGGTGACACACTGTGGTGCGCGTGCGGCCGCAAGATCTTCCTGCTGGACGTCGACGCCGAGGTTGTGCGGCGCAGCTTCTACGTGCACCATGAGCGCGCGGCGAGTGTCGGCACCCTCGCGCGGGCCGGCGTCGGCGTCTGGTGCAGCATACGCACGACCCCGCTCGTGCGGCTCTTCCACGCCGAGACCTACCAGCTGCTGCAGGAGCTAAACGTCGCGTCGGCCGTTGGCCGGCTGCTCGGCGAGCGCAAGCAGCCGCGCGGATCCGGCGTCGCCGTGACGACGCTCGTCGCCTCCTCTGGGTACCTGTGGATCGGCACGAGCGTGGGCATTGTTGTTGTGTATGCACTGCCGCGGCTTGAGGGTGTGCCCGTCATCAGCAACAAGGCGATCGTCTCCTATCACTCGCACAAGAGCGCTGTGACGATGCTCGTGCCCTGCCTGCCTGCGCAGGCCGCGATGCAGCAGAGGCAGCCGCCGAGGAGTCTGACGAAGAGCGGCGGCGCCCCCTACGAAGAGGAGCCGAAGCGCGTGAGCAACCTGTCTGCGTACGACAACGTGAGGAATCGTGAAGCCCCGCCGGCGAGCGAGGTCGACGACGACACCGACGACGTGTACACGACGCCGTACGCAGTCCCGTCCATGGACGACGACGACGATCACCACGACGAGGCGGCGGAGGAGGAGGAGAAGGGGGTCCCGGCTTACGACGACGTCGCGCCCGTCCCCGCGCTGCCTGCCGTGCACTCGTACGTGAATGTACCGAGCAGTACCGACAACACCTATGACACGGTGTACGACGCAAACGTGGAGCAGAGGAAGCAGGAGGAGGAGGAGGAGGGCCCGAGAGCAACGACAACAGCTGCAGCATCTGATGATGTATTCGAGGGGCCTTACGCAGTGACGGATATTCCTCGTAAGTTTGCAGCAATGACCTATCAATAGCCTTATCAATGACTATCAAATAACTTATCAATAGCATGTTCTCGTTATTGATAATTAAGCAATCAAAGTTATATGTAGGGTGGTCAATCAAGGGAAACCCAAATACTGTCCTTTATAAATAGGTGCCTGTCCTATAGAAGTGATTTAACTGTACATGACTCAAGAGAAATGCCAAGTGTCCTTTATAGGCAGATATCGTTCTAGAGAGTTGCTCCATAGTAAACGATACGAAATAAATAATACTAATTAATACAAGTTTGACTGTAGTCATTCTACCAGTTGTTAATTAATAAAATGAGTAAATTTGTGAGTAATGAGTAGCTCGAGTAACGAGTGAGTACATCTCTTGCCTTCCCCATTCTATTAGATTTGTCAACCAGCGATGACGAACGTGAAATAAAATCGCTTCAGCAGACGCGTAGCAGCGGCGCCGCCTCACAGGTGGCCCAACCTGCGGCGATCCCCGAGAGCGGGCCGCCGCCGCTGACCCGCAAGAACTATCGCTTCAACGATGAGAACGTTCGCAGCATCCTGCGCGGCGTCGTTGACCGGGAGGCGCGTGCGCGGGGCTACAGCGGCGCCCACTCTCCCTCGCCGCCGCGCACCAACCTCGACCGCATCACGTCGATGTACGGAAGCCTGATGAACATCGACGTGGCCGACCTTGAACGCGAGAATTCGACGACGGAGTCGGAGTGCTCGGCGAGCGTGCCCCGTGAGGGCGACGTGCCGATGACGCCACCGCTCTTTCCGAAGTTCCCCGTGCGCGGGGGGACGCACAATGACGAGGAGGATGACGATGGGGAGTACGGGATCGCGAGTCGTCCGGCGGCGGCCGCGGGGCTGGAGAACCGCAGTGCGGGCCGGCCGCGCACGATGCTGGTGGTCAGCGGCGGCAGCGGCTACTTCAACTGGTCACGGCTAAGCTCGAAGGACGTGAGCAACAGCGACGCGCACGTCATGGCGTGGGAGATGAAGCTTGTTGGGTGATCTCTGACCGTGGATTGCGGGATGAACAACAGCACTACATGACGTGGGAGATGAAGCTCGTTGGGTGATCTCTGACCGTGGATTGCGGGATGAACAACAGCACTACATGACGTGGGAGATGAAGCTCGTTGGGTGATCTCTGACCGTGGATTGCGGGATGAACAACAGCACTACATAACGTGGGAGATGAAGCTCGTTGGGTGATCTCTGACCGTGGATTGCGGGATGAACAACAGCACTACATGGCGTGGGAGATGAAGCTCATAGGATGGCCGTAGATTCCAAGATGAACAACAGAGACGTGAACACATGGCGGGGTAGCTTTTCAGGTGACTTTCACTACCTCTGTCTGAGCGAGATGGCCACGTCCGTCTCAGATGCTGTTGCTAGAGCTGTCATGCTAATCTATTTTTGTATGCGGTGGATGCCAGAATGTCGCCCTAGCAGCACGTCGTTACTGAGCATTAGTTTTAGGACATCCTATCGCAATGCTCATTAGCTAGATCTGCCTGTCACTCGGGTCAGGCATATATGCCAATATCGGTTGTGGGTTTGCGATGAGCAGACAGTTTTGACTCGTCTCTAGTCGAGCAGGTATCGGTTGGAGAAAGAGTGCAGTCGACATGAAAGATGGTTCAGTTCTGTATACCCACTGTAGACGTGGCATTTTGGGGGTTCGCGAAGTCGCACAAAAACGTGAATACTGTGCTTGCTTGCACGTTTGTTCGGCAACTCTGTCTGAGTTCTCAGTTTTTCGAGACACTGCTACCAATTATAGATAAAAGAAATTGGTTAAGTATGTATACATACATACATACATATTTAGTTATATATATATATACATATATAATAACTAGTAAACATAATAGACGTACGTTTTATCAATTATTATTGACGGTAGAATTAGGCTCTGTAATTAGCGAGTAATTAATTGATCTATAGTGTTAATGATGAAATTGTTACATTAGACAGCATGTCGACTCCTTGTTAGTATTTTAGAAAATAAATTCAGTAGAGCAACGCAAAATACTGAGCTTTTTAACTATGAATACCCCCAAACTGAATTGAATAAATAATTCTTCGCTAATAGTAATAGCCTCGTCTACTCGACGAAATTTAACTCGAGTTAAGCGTCTATACGGGGCCGTAACTCGAGTTAGCTTATCCTCGCCAGTCGATCGAAGTTAAGCTAACTCGAGTTACCTTAACTCGAATTAGCGAATAGTACATAACTCCACGATAGGCGGCAACACTAGTACGATGTACGCACGTGTACTTGCACACGCACGCACACACTCATGCACGCACGTGTACGTGCACACGCACGCACGCACGTCTACGTGCACACGCACGCACTGACGCACGCACGCACTCACGCACGCACGCACGCATGCACGCATGGTACGCACGCACGCACGTGTACATCCAAACGCCCGCACGCACGCACGCGCCCATGCACACACGTCTACATGCGCACGCACGTACGCATGCACGCAGGTGTACGTGCACACGCACGCACGTATATGTGCATACGCACGCGCGCACGTTTACATACACACGCACGCATGCATGCATGCATGCACGCAGGTGTACGTGCACACGCACGCACGCACGGACGCACGTGTACGTGAACACGCACGCACGCACGTGTACGTTCACACGCACGCACGCACGCGCGCACGTGTACGTGCACACGCACGCACGCATGTACGCACGTGTAAGTGCACACGCACGCACGCACGCACGCACGTCTACGTGCACATGTACACGCGCGCACACACGCACGCACGTGTACGTGCACACACATGGACGCACGCACGCACGCACGCACGTGTACGTGCACACGGACGCACACACTCATGCACGCACGTGTACGTGCACACGCACGCACGCACGCATGCACTTAGGTGTACGTGCACACGCACGCACGCACGCACGAACGTGTACCTGCACACGCGAGCACACACGCATGCACGCACGTGTACGTGCCCACGCACGCACTCACGCACGCACGCACGTGTACGTGCACACGCACACACGCACGCATGCACGCACGTGTACGTGCACACGCACGCACGTCTACGTGCACACGCACGCACGCACGCATGCACGCATATGTACGTGCATATGCAGGTACGCACGCGCGCACGTGTACACGCACGTACGCACGCAGGTGTACGTGCACACGCACGCACGCACGTATATGTACATACGCACGCTCGCACGTTTACATACACACGCACGCACGCACGGACGCACGTGTACGTGAACACGCACGCACTCACACACGCACGCAGGCACTCACGTGTACGTTCACACGCACGCACGCATGTACGCACGTGTAAGTGCACACGCACGCACGCACGCACGAACGCACGTGTACGTACACACGCACGCACGCACGCACGAACGTGTACTTGCACACGCATGCACGCACGCACGCACGTATACGTGCACACGCACACACGCACGCACAACCACGCACGCACGGCACCTGTTTTACATACACACGCACGCACGCATGCATGCAGCGCAGGTGTACGTCACACCACGCAACGCACGAACGCACGTCTACGTGCACATGCATGCCACGCACGCGTACCTGTACACATAGTAATGATACGCAATCTGTATGTGCATAACCAGTCAGATTTACCTAATCAGTGTAGGGGCCTACTGAATTAAGTTCTCAATTATTAATATCGTAGTTGGAAATCTAATAATTTATTGACTGGTGCGTGTTTTCAGGGGACCCCTGCATGGTCATGCTATTGCACACAATTTGGGTTAAATCTGATTTTACTTAACTAGACAAACTGCAGCCCGGATCGCGCGCGAAAGCGCGAACAGCGCCATCTCATGGCGCCATTAGGGTCAATTCGCTGCCACAATATGTATAACTATATACGCAAATCACTTTGTGTAGTAGATAAAGCCCCAGAATCGGTGAATTGAGGAGTTCTGGCCATTGCCGAAATTTTTGGACTTTGCACGTAGTGCGAGAATAAATCGAATGGTCGGAATTGTGTTTTTTTTTTCTTCGCGCGTACGTTTTTTCCTATAAAAACGACTTCGAATTTATTTAATTTAACGCCCTGAAGTTAATTCTGGTACATATCGCGGCCCATAGATCGCGCCACCGAGGGCTCTCCTCCGAGGCATTTCGCAGACAATTTTCGTTAGACTGGCGCGGTCGAGAATTTCACACGCTGCAGTAACTATAACTTTAGTGTAGCGAAAGAGACTTGCCCGAATTAACGTCCGTGCCAGTCTAACCTGGAATCGTGACATCGCGTGTTCGTTATCGTAGCCATCTTGCTTCTCCTTATGAACCTGTTCACCCCGCGCTCGCATCTCCTCTCAGACTCTAGCCCGTTTTGCCGTTTTTGCATATTACCAGCCACTGGCAGTGCGTCAAGCCCGCACGTACAGCACACACTGCATGATCATCAGTTCGTTTAGACTGAGCCACTAGCGGCACTAGAGACCGTGTACAAGATGGCGTTGCGCAAAAGATGCGTTGTTACCCGACCGCACTACTACTACTACTACTACTAGTACTAGTAGTAGTAGTACTACTAAGTTACCAGCACTACTAGTACTAGTACTAGTAACTACCAGGACCGCAGGAGCTAATAGTAATAGTAATAATGACTAACTCTGTTACTAGTATTAACTAACTTACTAATAATGACGAATCCTAACCATAACCCTAACCTATATATTGATATAATATTATATTTAGATTGATGTAAATGACATTGGTTTTATTGGCCATGCCATACATTGGGGCCGCATATAATATTGGGAGCCATGTTCTCTATCCTTGAACCCTAGCTACTACTAGACTACTATACGACTAGCACAAACGCTCTTTGCTAGGGTTAGAATACCCCCTAGGCTATACTAGACACAGGCACTTGAAGCGTTTCAATAAAAATATAATGCTAACTAAATACGAAATCTATTTACTACGAATTGTTCATGTTTCTAGTATAGGCCTACTCTCTTTCAAGAAGGTTGCGAGGTGCAAAGGCTATATATAGACTAGGACTCGCTCCCACCTCGATTAGCCATTGAGTGACTAAGCTAAGCCGAGAGGTGCGAGAGAGTGCCAGTCTATGGGCTATAGCGGCGGCAGGCGGCGCAGCTGCTTTCCAACTCCCGTACGAGCCTCGCCATTGGAACGTTGCAAAAACGTTGCAGCGTTGGGCGCGAAGAGCGCCGGTAGGTGTTTCGTGATTTTGACAGCCGTTTGCATTACTGGGCAAGGTTCGCGGAATGTCAGAATTTCGACACGTCTTTCTTCTGGATTTCGCGTCACACAGCTCGGTTACGAACAGATTACTCGGTTACAGTTTTTATAGCAAGTCAACACTGTTGACGTCCCAAATGTCTACCCTCTGTGTCCCCCAGTAAAATTGCGGACTGTTCGCTGGCAGCTATGGATCCCGTGCGCCCGCCAATTCATTCGGCGCACGGATCCATAGCTGCCAGCGCTGCATACTGTCGTAGGACGTTGCCGCGGTCGCGGTGCGCCTTGCGGCGGAACTGCGCGAAAGATCTGCGCTTAGCGCAATTGGGATCAACATCTCCTTCGGCAACGCTTCTCTAGTATCCGCTCTCATCTGGACTGTAGGCCCACTTTAGTTCATTCGAATCACATTATCCCGTGAAGTTGCCTGTCAATATTCTCTTGTCCCATATATATATATATATATATATAATACAAATAAACAAATTTGTCTTTATTAACTCCTGATATATATATACATCTAATATAAGTTCGTATGTATGTATCTATCTATCTATCTATCTATGTATCTTCCCTATAGGCGGCCAAACCGCCCAAGCGATTCTGGATGCAATTTTCACAGGGCCATCTCTTATACCGGGGAGTGTTCGTAGCTGAAAAAAACCTGCAATCCGTCAAACTCACCGAAAATCCGTGAAAAACCCCTCAATTCGTGAATCTTCACACATTGTCAGCACTGACTGTACAGTGCTGCCACACAGAGAAAAAATCGATCACTCATTCCATCAGCTGCCGAAACCGAAAACGATTGTGAAACCCAAACCGAGCACCGAGCTAAAACAGAGCACAGCCAGTTCAAAGGTTACGACTGCATTGTTTATCAACAGGCTTTGAAATGAGAAGCGCAACCCATTCGTACATGCTGTTACGTGCCATACGTGCATGCCGTACGTGGGGAGCTCAACAGTTCGAGACGCCAGGAATCTTTACATATTTCCACCAGAGAATAACACGAAAAACATTGTTTATCAAGAGGTTTTCAAATGAAAAGTCCAACCCATTCGTACATGCTGTTATAATAACTTTTTGTCATTTACACCATATTACTATTATGTTCCAGTGGTTCTAAGTTGGGTTGTGCTGTCATATAAATGTCATAGTAACAGTTTTCCCATGCTTATTATCTTATTAGACTGATTTCTAAATATTCATATTCTGTGCAATGTTATTGTCGATTTTTACCCAATGTTCCTATTGTGTCCCATTATTAGTAGTATGAATTAGTAGCACGATTTTACCAGCGGCAGGCGGGTACCAGCACTAGTCTAATATAAGTTTCGTATGATGTATCTATTATCTATCTATCTATGTACTTCCGCTATAGCGGCCAAACGCCCAAGCGATCTGGATGCAATTTTCACAGGGCATCTCTTATACCCGGGGTGTTCGTAGCTGAAAAAAACCTGCCAATCCGTCAAACTCACCGAAAAATCCGTGAAAAACCCCTCAATTCGTGAATCTTCACACATTGTCAGCACTGACTGTACAGTGCTGCCACACAGAGAAAAAATCGATCACTCATTCCATCAGCTGCCGAAACCGAAAACGATTGTGAAACCCAAACCGAGCACGCGAGCTAAAAAGAGCACAGCCAGTTCAAAGGTTACGACTGGCATTGTTTATCAAGCAGGCTTTGAAATGAGAAGCGCTAACCCATTCGTACATGCTGTTATCGTTCATACGTGCATGCGTTACGTGGGGAGCTGCAACAGTTCGAGACGGCCAGGAATTCTACATATTTCCACCAGAGAATAACACGAAAAACATTGTTTATCAAGAGGTTTTCAAATGAAAAGTCAACCCATTCGTACATGCTGTTATAAACTTTTGTCATTTACACCATATTACTATTATTGTTCCAGTGGTTCTAAGTTGGGTTGTGCTGTCATACTAAATGTCATACGTAAACAGTTTTTCCATGCTATTAATCTTATTAGAATGATTTCTAAATATTCATATTCTGTGGCAATGTTATTGTCGATTTTTACGCAAGCAATTACTTCCTATTGTGTTCCCAATTATTGAGTATATGAATTAGTAGACGATTTTACGCCAGCGCATGGGAAGTAGCCAGCAGCTAGTCTAAAATAATATTGAGTTACGTAATCGTATGTATCTATCTATGTATCTTCCCTATAGGCGGCGCAAGACCGCCAAAGCGATCTGGATGCATTTCACGAGGGCCATGCTCCTATACCCACGGGCGTGTTCGTAGATGAAAAAACCTGTCAAACCCGTCCAAACCGCCGAAAATCTCGTGAAAAAACGCCTCAATTCCGCAATCTTCACACAATGTCAGGCAACAGCCTATGGGCTATTGTTTTCTTGGCCGCTCACCTCCATGATCTCATCAGCTGGCTGGTATTGTGAAACCGGAAACGGAAATCGAAACCTAAAACAGAGCATAAGCACTGACCAGTTCAGAAGGTACTACTCACCATCTCAGTTCACAGTTTCGGTTTCAGATGCTACGATCTGAGAATGCCATTGTACGCATTCAAAGCTATGCCATTTTCTGATTCAATACAAAAATTTCTAATTTCCAATGTGCATTGGTTGCACGCAAAGCATTCAGCTAGACAATATCCAGTGGACACAGGACCCCACTCGCGGCCGGCTGTCCTTATCTATATCTAATATATGATATTTCTTTATTCCCGCGTACGATTCTCACAATGGTAGCTGTACGTGGGGAGCTTCAAACAGTTGGATACCCCAGGCATCTCTACGCCCGCATTATTCCACCAGAGAAAACACGAAAAACATTGTTTATCNTACTAGTAGTAGTAGTAAGTTATTCTCGTACATATCGCGGCCCATAGGTCGCGCCACGAGGCTCTCTTCGAGGCATTTCGCACATAAATTTCCTGAGACGGGCCCGCGGTGCATAGTTTGACACGCTGCAGTAACTATAACTTTAGTGTAGCGAAAGAGACTTGCCCGAATTAACGTCCGTGCCAGTCTAACCTGGAATCGTGACATCGCGTGTTCGTTATCGTAGCCATCTTGCTTCTCCTTATGAACCTGTTCACCCCGCGCTCGCATCTCCTCTCAGACTCTAGCCCGTTTTGCCGTTTTTGCATATTACCAGCCACTGGCAGGAAGATCAAGCCTGCACGTACAGCACACACTGATCATCAGTTCGTTTAGACTGAGCCACTAGCGGCACTAGAGACCGTGTACAAGATGGCGTTGCGCAAAATATGCGTTGTTACCCGACCGCACTACTACTCAGGGCGTTAAATTAAATTATGGGACGCGATATCTACGAGAATAACTTCAGGGCGTTAAATTAAATCAATTACAAATCGCTTTTATATAAAAAACAGTTTGGTTTGCGCGTTTTGGCCATTGCAGAATTTTTTGGACTTTGCACGTAGTGCGAGAATAAATGCAATGGTCGTAATTCGTACTTTGGAACTGCTCAATTGACCGATTATACGGCTTTATCCTATACCCGCGCTTCCTTCATGAGCGAGAGCGCCATCTGTCGTGGAGTTTGCTACCGCACAACTAATTAACAACACCGCGACATCACACCTTGCCCAGCTCTCAACCAACATCCGACGCGAGCGCCACCGCGCGGATCGTCTGCTGGGGCGATACGTTGCCACAACACGCGTGCTTGACGATCTGCAGCCGGATATACGCGCGAAGCGCGCAAACGCCGCGCAGCGGCGACACAATGACTTAATCGCTGCCCTTATTTAGAATACTTTCACGAGGCCATTCTGTATAAACGTGGGGAATTCAAATTAGAGATTAGCATAAATTATGCTAATCTATTATTTCCTCCATGTCGGTATCATTACGTTTCTCCATAGACCGTCACGCAGTCAATGTTAAAAATACAACAGTATCAGTTACATTAGCAATAAATCCATAAATTATGAATCAACGATGCAAATACACACGCGCGCGCAAACACACGCACGTACAAACACACGCACGTGTGCACACAGAGATACACGCACAAACGCACGCACAGCACGCACACATGCGCGCACAAACGCACGCACAGGCGCGCACACACACACGCACAAACGCACGCACACGCGCACACACAACCGCACGCACACGCGCGCAGGCACACGCGCGCATGTACACGCACGCGCTTATCTCTCGCCCACGAGCCGTCATATATTCTATATTGACCGCCATATGTGTATATAGTCAGCGTGAGGGTAGCCACCGATGAATTAAAGCCGCCAGCACGAATTAAGAAGCTGAACAACTACCGCACCAAACTGCATGCACTCCCAACTTGTTAGCATATATAATCCTATGATATACGTGCTCTGACATTACTTATGTAGTTTTACGTCTAGGAAACTATTTTTCGACACGTATTTCATGGTCAGATCTGGTTGTTCCTTTTTTATGTTTTCATGCAAACCCATCTAGATTGCGAAAGAAATTCTCGCTGTTGCACCAGTATATTTAGACGTGCTCTGGTAATGTAGCATACATGTCGCCATCTATTGGCTGATTTAAATTTATTATTGCACGTCAGCCACAGCATTCTATCATTATTAAAGAGAGAGTGGTGATTTATTTTTCATAGTAAGAAACGGTGAAGAATATTTTATATCCATTTTGAAAGCATAATTTCAGCTATACATACAGCTACATAAATCATGTAGCATACACATCGCCATCTGTTGGCTGATTATAATTTATTATTGTTACACCATCAGGACTATTCTATCTTACTACTATACAGTCAATGCTAAATGTACACGCTTATCAGAGCTACATAATATACACGTTCATTCTAGGCCAATATATCGGAATAAATATTTAAAAAAATTCTTCAATACACTTTAAACATATATTTTTTTTTATTCATATACTTTAAATTTTTTACACATTTTACTATATTTTTTTAGATTTCGCTAAATATTTTATATTTTTTTATATAATTTATATTTTTAACTATCTTAACCGTTATCAAATATATGATATGTTCACTTAATTATCGCGTAGAGTAAAGAATAGATTAGATTTAGAAGATTTTCATTTTCACCATTACAGCTACTAAGCGTAATGACATAGCATGTACGCATGAACGCATTCTATCACACCAGCCAGCTAGCCAGCCAGCCAGCCAGCCAGCTAACACAAGACTTACTTAAGCTATGTTGCTTAACAATAAGATGTACTTAAGCTATGTTACTTGACATCTAGCACAACAAGATTTACTTAAGCTATGTTACTTGACATCTAACACAACAATATGTATTTAAGCTATGTTGCTTGCCAATCACACACAAGACTTATTTAAGCAATGTTACTTGACATCTCGCACAATACTTACTTAAGCTATGTTGCTTGCCAGCTAACACAAGACTTATTTAAGCTATGCTGCTTAACAATAAGATGTACTTAAGCTATGTTACTTGACATCTAACACAACAATATGTACTTAAGCTATGTTACTTGACATCTCACACAATACTTACTTAAGCTATGTTGCTTGAAATCTAACACAACAATATGTACTTAAGCTATGTTACTTGACATCTCACACAATACTTACTTAAGCTATGTTGCTTGACATCTAACACAACAAGATGTACTTGGCAATTTTACAACAATTGTACAAGATTACACAACAAGCTACGCTGCTTGCTACGGCAGTGGCGCTACTGAGGGCTTCTTGCAACCGAAGAGTTCTCTTACGGCCAGGCGAAAGTCCATAAACTTGTAGAAGTAAACGATCGGGTTCAGAAACGAATTCAATATGAGTCCGTTTATTCGAATAACGCGCAGCGCCTGAAGCCACCACTCGTTTCCAGAGTTGGGATACGCAAGAAGCAGACACATGTACAGCATGTGCGGACCGAGGAGAGTCCACGAGGTGCCGACAACGGTCAGTATGATCTTCGACATCTTCAACGTCGCGTGGAAAGCCGACATTTCTTGTCGTTCCTCGTTCGACGCCGTCGCCATTCTTTTCGTGTGCGTCCAGGCGATCCTGGCGATGACACCATAGCAGTATGACATGAGTACGAACAGGACGAGGTAGTGACTGAACACGTAGTAAGCGTAGGCGCGTGTCATCATCCGGCCGGGTATGCACAGCGCCGACGGCCGCCACCGCAGCGCCACCTGGATCATGCCGCCGACGCTCATCAGCATTGCGTACGTTATGCAGGCGGCTATGAGCCAGCCCGTGCGCGCCGGCGTCATTAGCAACGGGTAGCGTAGCGGGTACGAGATCGCCGTGTATCTGTTGATCGTGCACAGTGCCATGCCGGCCATAGAGCTCACGATATTGAAGACTCCGTAGCCGGTAAAGACGACGCAGCGCAGACGCGTGTCGCGAGGCAGCACCGCCGTCCACAAGACAGCACCGACGACGAAGTCGTAGCAGGCGAGGTTGACGATGGTGATGTTGGCGGCGGTTTGCAGACGACGGATCTTCGCTACGCTGACGATGACGAGGCCGTTGCTGACCATCGTGAATAGCGAGAACAGCACGAGGCAGGTGAGGATGAGCGCGCGCACGTGCGCCGTCGTGTTGGAGAAATACAGGTGATCGTTGTCGTCATCGTCATCGTTGTCGTCGGCGTCGGTGTCGTTGTCCCAGCGTCCGCCGTCGACTGTCTCGTTGTCGTAACTCGACAGCGTGGCTTTATTTTCCATGTTTGTTGGTTTCTTTGAAGCTAATGAGGCTTCCTCTAGCGTCCTCGGGGTTCCTCTCTCTCTATCTTTTTTTAAAATTTACTTGTAAATTTCTAAATTAATATTATTATTTTTTAATTCTTCAGAACGCTATGCGTGCTATGTGAATAACGTACTGCGCTTCTCGGCGCAGCCTTATGGTTAGGTGTAAATCAAGTTCTGCTCAGTGACCAAGTGAGTTTGTGGACTGTCAGGAGAGGAAATGCGCGCATGCTGTTATATAGTGTACTTGTGCGCAGTACTCGTGAAAGCGCGCGAGCACACACACACGCGTACGTGCGCACACACACACGCGCGCGCATGCGCACACACACACGCGCGCGCATGCGCACACACATACACACACGCGCGCGCATGCGCACACACATACACACACGCGCGCACGCACACACACACACACACACACACACACACACACACACACACACACACACACACACACACACCCACCCACACACACACACAATATCTATCTATCTATAAATATATATATATATATATATATACCTTCTAGTTGTGATGTTGCTCGACGCGGACAATCGAAGGAGGAGAGGAGATCCGTCGATCCTCACGCTCGCGGTTCGTGTATGACGTCACCGACCGGCGGCGGGTCAGCGGGGTGGCGGGCGGTGGAAGCATGCGAGGGTGATGTATCAGATGTATCGTGCTGAGGCGCGCCATCTCTTTCTTCACGTCCGCGAACGTCTTCGGCGGCTTCTTAATGGACTTCTTAAACTGATTCATGATGTCGGAGAGCGTGATGGTCGACGGGTAATGCTATCCCCCGGGCGTGGAGGNGGGGGTCCGGACCCCCCCCCCTGCTCGCGCAGAAAACGCATCTGAGGGGGTCTAATTTCAAAAAAATCCGGGGGGAGAGCCCCCCAGACCCCCCCTTCGCGTGCTCCTGTACACGCCCCTGGTTTCGCCCCCCTAAGAAAATACCCTGGCGCCGCCCCTGCTCACCAGTATGACAGTAGGCTAACTTGCACATAAACGTAGACTCTATATATTGATCTAATAACAAAAGTGGTTCTCCTGTAATTCTATACTACTTGTAATAATTTACTGTAGTAGCATATAGGCATGCCACATAGTGAGTAATCATTTTCTTCTTTTTTTTCATCATTACCAGCTATTACAAAGATTCTGCTGCAGGTTATTCCCTTGATGCATTTTATTCTCCTAGGTGCTGCATTCCCAAAGGCTTTCGGAGGAACCGTTGCAAGTATGGGTGATTTGTTAGAAGGATGGAGGTGTTGTATGCGGCCACTCTAACTGCATGGCAGCTAGGGCTTGTAGCTGCGACACTCTTTGCCATTGACAGGGGTAAGTATATATTTATGAAAACCAGGAAAACACCTCATGCCATAGAAGAAGCGGTTTATTCGTAAATTATAGCCGGTAACAGACGGCTACTCCGAAAATCCTATAACAAACAAAACAAATATGGCGCATCACACCCCAGTGTCCACATACAGTGTGATGTAGCAATAATACATTGGCAACCAACATACACCATACTACACATAAGATGCTGATACAATTTTACCACTGTGATCAATCTACGTCCCATTACATAATGATACTATGCCGGTAAAAGTATTACTCCTGCACAACAATATTGGCGTATCTAGACACGTTAACCACATACGCGTTCCGCACACGCCTAGGGCAGAGTAGCCTACACACTACCTTCACTGAAAATAACTCCCCTAAGTGGGAGTGACAACACATATACATGGGCCAAACAAGAAAACGAATTACTCAAAACAAACATGGTTCACGTTGAACCCATGGTGGCATTGCCATGGATTCCTCCGAAGATACAGTAAAATCAAACAACAATATTCAGTTCACTGTAGGATTGTGTGACCACCATGAAACCATACAGATTACAATCACTCCTCGAGTTCCCGTGGCCCATGTCGTATCTGAAATACAGTACTAGTACCCGCCACTCACCCCCAAATGCACGTCAGCAACTGTATCCATGAGTTAGACCTGCACGCTGTTGTTGGCTGATTCCGTTCCGACACTAGATGAAACCATAACATGCACGATAATAACACTCGCCAAATATCACGTTCCCACAGATTGTACTACGTATCTCGAATACGACAAAGAAGAGAGTTATCAGCAAAACCGGTATAAACCAATTCGAATCACATGCACGACCAATTAACTCCCTATAGCGCCATGTCGAATTTACCTTCACCGCTATTAAGTCTTAATTTGGCACGAATCCACACTTTACGACTACAGACGTTACTCATACTGATGTCCGGTAGCTTAACTACATTCTGAATGAGAAAATATGCATGCTAGACAGTCTGCAGCCGGATCAACGCGCGAAGCGCGAACAGCGCCACCTGTGGTGCCACAATGACTTAATCGCTGCCCTTACTTAGAATACATTCACGAATCCCTTCGGGTATAGGATAAAGCCCGAGAATCGGTCAATTGAGCAGTTCTGGCCATTGCCGAAATTTTTGGACTTTGCACGTAGTGCGAGAATAAATCGAATGGTCGTATTTCGTACTTTGTTTGGTTTGCGCGTTGCGTTTTTTTCTATAAAAACGATTTCTAATTTATTTTATTTAACGCCCTGAAGTTATTCTCGGCTCCGTACATATCGGCGGCCCCTTAGATCGCCGCAGCAGCGAGGCTCCGTCTTGAGGGATTGTGCGCGTACGAAAGAATTTGCGCGGCTGAGGAGCTGGCCCGGGCGGTCCAGAGTTTCACTACGCTGCCGGGCACTAACTATAACTTTAGTGTAGGGCGAACGCAGGACTGTGCGCCGATATTAAGCCTCCGTACGCAGTGGCTAACGTTGGAATGCGTTGACGTCGCGTTTTCATTATCGTAGCCATCTTCGCTTGCTCCTTATGACTCGTGTTTGACGGCGCCGGGCGCGTTCGCATCTGGCCTGGCTCAGACTCTAGGGAGGCGGCCGTTTTTGCCTGTTTTTGGCATATTACCAGGCGGCACTGGCAGGAAGATCAAGGCGCGCGCAGCGTAGCAGGCATCACACTGATACTATTCAGTTTCGTGTTTAGACTGAGCCAGCTAGCGGCTAACTAGAGAGCGCGTGTAGGGCCAGATGGTGCGTTGGCGCAAGGAAGATGCGTTGTGTAGCGCGTGGGCGACCCGCACTATCTACTACTCACTACTGGAGTAGGCTAGTAGTTAGTAGTACTTAGCTGTTAAGTTAGCCGTGAGCACGTACTAGTAGCTAGTACTTATTAACTAGGCCAGGACCGCAGGAGCTAATAGATAATAGTAATAATGACTCAAACTCTGTTAGCTAGGGTTTGAACTATACTTTACTAGATAATGACGAACCGCTTGATCGCATATTGATCCCACCTAACCTATTATATTGAATATAGATAGTTATATTTAGAGTCTGATGTAAATGACATTGGTTTTTATTGGCCCTGCCATAGCATTGGGGCGGCATATATATAGTTGGGAGCGGCATGTTCTCCTCCTCCTTGAGACTCACTAGTACTACTAGGATCTACGCTACCTGAGGCGAGGCTAGGCAAGACACGCATCTTTGCTAACGGGTTAGAATACGCACGCTAGGCGTATCCTAGACACAGGCACTTGAAGCGTTTCAATACAAATATAATGCTAACCTAAATACGATAATCTATTTACTAGCGAAACTTTTGTTATGTTTTCTAGTATAGGCCTAGCTCTGCTTTCTAACGAAGGTTGGGCGAGGTGTCACAGGGTATATATAGGACTAGGACGTCGCTGGGCGGGCGGCGTACCTCGGATAGGCGGCATTGAGTGACTAAGCGTAGAGCCGAGAAAGTGCGAGAGAGTGCGCAGTTCTAGTGGGCTATTAGGGCGCGGCGGCAGCGCGCGCGCACTAGGCTTTCCAACATCCCGGTAAGCGAAGCCCTCTGCCATTGGAAGCGTTGCAAAAACGTGTGCAGCGTTGGGCGGCGAAGAGCGCCGGTAGGGTGTTTCGGTGATTCTGACAGCGGCGTTTCGCATTAGGCTGGGCAAGGTTTCGCGGAATGTGCGAGAATTTGCGAAGTCAGTCTTTCTGTTGATCTTTCGTCGGTCACAG